TATTTATTTATTTATAATTGGACTTATATGCCGCCCTTCTCCCCATGGGACTCAGGGCGGCTCACAGCATATTAAAACAGTATAAAACATTATCCCCAATAAAAACCAATTAAAAACAAATATTTGTCGCTGTGTCTTATTAAAATCATTAAAATTGTCCCTATTTAAAATTCACCCTAGGCCAGACCCGCTTGCTGAAGAACGGTTGCAGGAACTGGGTATGGCTAGTCTAGAGAAAAGAAGGAATAGCAGTATTCTAGTATTTTGAGGGGCTGCCATAAAGAAGAGGGGTCAATTTATTTTCCAAAACACCAGAGGGCAGGACAAGAAACAACGGATGGAAACTAATCAAGGAGAGAAGCAACCTGGAATTAAGGAGAAACTTCCTAACAGTGAAAACAATTGACCAGAGGAACGGCTTGCCTCCAGAAGTTGTGGATGCTTCATTACTGGAGGTTTTTAAAAAGACTTGTCTGAAATGGCAAAGGGTGTTAGAGCAGGGGTTGACTAGAAGACCTCCAAGGTCCCTTCCAGCTTTGTTCTTATTGATTGATCAGTCTATTAATAAAATTATTACTGTGTTCATGTGCTTTGCTGCTTTTACTGATAGCCAGCTCAGGGTGGGTCAAGACACACAACAGATAAACTGTAACTATTTTCTCCTTAATGACTGAGTTTACATGTCCAGAGAGATTCTCAATTATCCAAGTCATGGTTGCCCCAAAGATGCTTTTTTCAGAAGGCTACTGGTTTCGCTTCTCACCCAGTTCTTCTGGGAAGTGAGATATTTTTTAAAAAAAAAACCCAAGAAAGTCCAGTTGCCTTTTGGAAAAAGGACCTTTGGGGCAACCATGATCTGGATGATTGGAAAAACACCTTTGGGGTGACTGGGCTTACCTGTCACACTAAACCATCTGGTGGTTTGTGTTCCTTTGTGGCTTCATAGCTTATGGGAATCCAATGACTGTGGCTTAGTAAACTGCACTTTATGGCTTATTGGGAGGTATGAAAAGCCATTATTAAAATTATAAGCCGTAAGTTTATGACTTACTACAATGTGTGAGCACAATCAATTATAGACACTTCAAGCCACAGTTAGGCCAACTTTGGCTTGCAGAAATGGGCAGATGGTGCTCCTTTCATCAAGTCATCCAGAAAACCAGTTTCAGGTCATCTTTTCTTTCACCCCTTTTACCAACAATAAAGCAACATTTTCTTACCTGGCTCTATAAACGTGGTCCAAGAACTCAATGGACCTGTTGGACATTGGTGTCTTTGCTTGTTTTATCAGCCAGTGCTTGTCCTACAAAAGGGAAAAAAATCCAGGAGCAACTTCCAGAGATATCAAATGGTTCAAGGATGGATATTAGATAAGGAGGATCTATAAAAGGACCCCCACACACACCATGTTCAGGTAGTCCTTAACGTACAACCACGACTGAGCCTGAAATTGTAAATCCGCAGGATGTTTTTTTTGCCATGTATATGTATACATTCGAACTATACTGATGCTTCTCTGTGTCATATATGTGTGTGTATGTGGGTATATGCATAATGGTATTTTTTGAGAGCTGAATGTAGCACAATTTCATTTTAATGTATGCTGATTAGTGTACATTTAAAGTGACAATAAAGTTATTATTCTATTCTATTCTCGTCTAAGTCTAAGTCTATTCTATTCTATTTTCTATTCTATTCTATTCTATTCTCGTCTAAGTCTAAGTCTATTCTATTTTCTATTCTATTCTATTCTATTCTCTATTCTATTCTATTCTATTTTCTATTCTATTTTCTATTCTATTTTCTATTCTATTTTCTATTCCATTCCATTCTATTCTGTCATTCATGGAACTCAGATGAAGACTTTGAATGATGCCAGATTTCCAAGCCCTGTTTTAGTCTGCTTCAAGGCCACCGAGGTCACTGACCACCTAGGATGTCCTGGCACTCACCTTCCCGTGCACGTTGAAGCTGCCATCGCGAGGGGCCTGGAGAGTACCGTAGGCGGACTTGTAGTGAGGAGCCGCTGTCCAGGGCGAGTGCGCAGCAGGTGGGGCTAACACCATGAGAAAGGGAAGGTGCGAAAACTTCCTTAGGAAATCCAGGCTCCGGTTGGTCTGCAACACAGACGGATTGGGGAGGGAGGGAGAAGATGGGAAAGGACATAAGTGGAGAAAACACCTGTCCGAGTCTTACTCAGATGTAAGGCAGGCTGTTCCAGGCACTCATTTGCCCCCCCCTCAAATAACCAAGACTTTTTTTTTTCTCTCTCTCTCTCTCTCTCTTCCCCCTCCCTCCGGGCTGGATTCCAGAGGACCAAGAGACAGTAAAGTTTAGAGAGTCTGGTTGGGAGAAAGAGAGTAAGGAAGGCCCCTCCCTAGCAATTCTCAGAATATATCTTTAACGATGCAAGTAGTTCGTTTTAATTTGGTACAAGGAGGAACAACAAAACAAACCGCTTTGAAGCATCTCCACGTGTTGTCCTTGGGACCTGACACAATACACTTAACCAAGTTAGAGGAAGAACCTGCTGTGATATCTCAAAGGTACTTTTTCCAAAAAGGCAACTGGACTTTTTTTTTTCCTTTAAAAACCTTTTGCTTTTCATCCAAGAAGCTTCTTTAGTTCTGAGTTAACTGACTTAACTAAGTTAGAATTGAAATGTTCAAAGGGGAAAAAAAAACTAAGAAAGTCCAGTTGGCTTTTGGAAAAAGCACCTTTGGGACAACCATGACCTGGACAATGGAGAATCTCCACAAATGCTCAGCTGTGACTGGAAAGGGCTACTGAGCCTCTAGCAGCCAACCATATCATCTCAACAAGGACAAGAGCACTGAAAGATTCACGCACGCAGGTCATCCCCATTCAGCGAGCCCTTGTTGGTATTGGCCGGTGACACAAAACAGAAATATTCAGAGCAGAAGCAAGGGTTTTATCTCCTCGTGCCAAAATAGCCTAGTTTTTTTGCAGAGGGCAGCTGACGATGTGGCACCAGCGCGATTTGCAGGGATGGGTGAAGAAAAGTCAAGATGGCAGCCACAAAGCTGTGATCGAAGCTCCGCCTGGTTTTTTTTTTTCATGCACAGTGGTCGCCATCTTGACTTTTGGGAGCCTACCTTGTGGCCACCTCTGCAGGGCACCACAGTGGAGGTGAAGCCCAGGAGAAAGCGGAGTAACTCACGAGCAGGTCCGTGAGATAGTCCTCTTCATAGCGGTCCCCGTGTTTCTCCTCATGGCCGTTCATTGAAAGGGTGTAGTTGTAGTACCTGGAATTGCCCACCTGTGGGAGGATGCACATGGCCTGTTAGACACCAGGGTAATCATTTATTTAAAATATTTTTACATTACTTGGTCTTAAAAAAAACCCTCGCAGTTTACATTTCACTCAAAACGATGAAATGGCAGTTAAAACAAACTGGGATAAAGCCCATGTTAAAACATTATGTAACTTGGACAAGATAAATAAAGGTCATCCTTGACTTACAGCCATTTGTTTAGTGACCATTCAACGTTACAACGGCATTGAGAAAAGTGACGTATGACAGGCTCTCACACTGCATCCCCAGGGTCACGTGATCGAAATTCAGGCACTTGGGGTCATGTGATCGCCATCTGTGACCTTCCCAGCCAGCTTCCAAAAAGTAAAGTCAATGGGGGAGACCAGATTCACTTAAAAACTGCAGTAATCTGCATAACTGTGGCAAAAGAAGGTTGCAACTCATTTAACAACTGTCAATCAATCAGAATAGAGATGGAAGGGACCTTGGAGGTCTTCTAGTCCAGCCCCCTGCTCAGGCAGGAGATCCTATACCATTTCAGACAGGTGGCTGTCCAGTCTCTTCTTAAAAACCTCCAGTGATGGAGCACCCACAACTTCTGGAGGCAACTTCTGTTCCACTAGTTAATTGTCCTTACTGTTAGGAAGTTTCTCCTTAATTCCAGGTTGCTTCTCGCCTTGATTAGTTTCCACCCATTGTTTCTTGTCTTGCCTTCTGGTGCTTTGGAAAATAAGTTGATCCCCTCTTCTTTGTGGCAGCTCCTCAAATACCAGAATGCTGCTACGAGTCCTTCTTTTCTTTAGACTAACCAAACTTTTAAGACTTGTGGACTTCAACTCAACCATGCTGGCTGGGGAATTCTGGGAGTTGAAGTCCACAAGTCTTAAAGTTGCCAAAGTTAGACAGCCCTGACGTGGAGGAAACCACGTGCCGTTCTACTCACCAGACCTAGCCAATATGTCCATCCCATGGGAATGTGCTGAACACCACCTGCTTTCGGGTGCCCGTACTGTAAGAAAGGAGATGCGTTAGGGAAAGCACACCACCAGGCACATCTGCACAATCGCTAGAAGAAAAGCGTTTACAGGGAAACACGTAGTTCTACCTGGTTGAGGTATTTGCCAGCGTAGAAGGTCTGGTAACCTTGCTTCTGCAGGTAAACCGGGAAGGTTAAGGGTTCCTGGAACTTCTGCCAGGCAGAGCTGCTGCAATTCCCTTCCAAGGAATTGTTGGTCACCAAGTGGTTGTGGGGATACAAGCCTGTCAAGATGCTGCTGCGGCTGGGACAACACAGAGGGGTCACTGAAAACTGAAAACAGACAAATCAATAGCAATAGAACTTAAGACTTATATACTGCTTCACAGTGCTTTACAGCCCTCTCTGAGCGGTTTACAGAGTCTGCATATTTGCCCCCAACTATCTGGGTCCTCATTTTACCGACCTCAGAAGGATGGAAGGCTAAGTCAACCTTGAGCCGGTGAGAATTGAACTGCTGGCAGTTGGCAGGATTAGCCTGCAATACCACATTCTAGCCACTGCTCCACCATGGCAGTTGGACCAGGAGATTGATTTTGTTCACAGATGAACTTATATACAAAGCAATTCTGAAACCACATTTTGGAGATACTTACTGCATTAGCAAAGGTAACCCCAAACTGACCAATCAGCATTTGGGTCTTCTTCATCGGGGTCTGAAAATTGGAAGCCAAGAATCTGATTACTAAACAGCCCTTTCCACACTGAAGGTTTTTAAGAAGATACTGGACAACCATTTATCTGAAATGGTCTAGACCAGGGGTAGGCAACCTTGGCTCTTTTATGACTCCTGGACTTCAACTCCCAGAATTCCTGAGCCAGCATGGCTCAGCTTGGAAACCTCTCCCTTTCCCCTCAGCATGGCTGGCTCAGGAATTCTGGGAGTTGAAGTCCACGAGTCATAAAAGAGCCAAGGTTGCCTACCCCTGGTCTAGGGTCTCCTGCTTGAGCAAGGAGTTGGACTAGAAGACCTCCAACATCCCTTCCAACTCTGTTACTCTGGTAGGGTCACGCATCAGAAAAGGAACCAAATTGCTCTGTGCTGTCACATGGAGATGAAACATCCTTTATGACTGGAGAAAACTAGAACTGAAACGTCCTACACAACAACTTGTTTGTGGTTTTTTCTAAGCCACATGATCCACACTAAACATTTCCTTCATCTGTTGAACCCTCAAAGCACTGCCTTCCAAAATCTATAAGCAGCAGTGATTAGAGGGACCTTTGGATTCGAAGTGTTTTCCTTTATCTCGAAGTTGGGCAAGCATCCATGAGGTTATTGCTGAAAAGAGGTGGCGTAATTTTCTCCTCTTCTGCAGCAGAACACGTGCACAAAAGTGGGAGGCGAGATCCTAAAACAATGTTAAAGGAATGGACTGACCTTCAAAGGACTAACCTTCAAAGTCAACTTGGTTGATCTTTGCAAAGCTAAACAAGGTCAAAACTGGTAAATATAGAAAGATAAGAGACAACTACTAGAGCTGCAGACAAGAATGACATTTTTAAAAAAATAATTCTGGAAGAAAGTAATACGAATGAGGAATCCTTGGTGTTCTCTGAGTTTGGTTGTTTTCTTGCAGATTGTCAGAATCCAATTATATTTCATCTCTAGTTATCAACTATGGAAAACCCCATTTCTGCCTTTCTCTGGATTCTGTCATACGATGAAGGGAAGGGGGTGAANAAAGGACTAACAATAACAATTGGGGCCATTACCTTTCATGTAATCCTTTCTGAAGTCTCTCCTCCCGGCAGTGAGGAAAAGGGGGTGGGAATGTAATGCCTGGAACTGTCGCTGGAAGAAGGGGGTGATGGGGTGGGGCTACTGGGGGATCCCTTAAAACCTTGAATGGGAGAGCTTGGACCCCAAGTCCTGTCTAGAAGGCCTGCAACCAACTTTCTCTTAATAAAGATGCCTGTTGGAAGAAATATTCCAGGAGTTCTGTCTTCTTAAGATGCAAAGTGGGGTGGGTCCTTACACAGATGTTTCATTACCCAAACTAAGTAACATGGTCAGTGCACTGATGTTACCCTAGTTTGGGTAATGAAACATCTGCGGGGGAAACCAATCAAGCCCAGAGAATTCCAAGGACGCCACAGCTCAAGGCTGAGCCACAAATATTTTCCTTTATAAGTAATTCTAAAAAAATGCCATGTTTGAACGGGAGTCTGTCCAAAGCACTCAAAGGAAACAACATAATGTTGTCCTTTTAGTTACCAGAAATCAAGTTGGATTTTAATCTCCCTAAGAGACAAGGATAGTTCCAGGGAAATAAAGGAATCAACAAGATAAATAGGTTTACTGGCAGAGTCCAGTGGGAGCTTTTCAAGAAGCAATCAGTCAGCATTCTGTGTTAAATCTGCAGAATTTATTCATCATTTACTCTTTCCAAGTCAAACAGCCCTCTGCCTCACTCACCTAATCTTTATATTGCCGCGCTCATGTCCTTCCGATATTTATTAATATTAGCATTAATGAATTATTTATACGAGTATCTTTCGGAGCGTTTCTTCTACATACTAGAAGGATATCTCTTTAATTGCCACTTGCCATTTGATATTATGGAACACCAATATAACTAACATTAACAACATATTGCTTTTAAATATCATTGACGAGCAAGGTGCTCATTAATATTATTCATTTGCATCGCTGTTAAGACTGTCTGCAGGGCTTTTTTTGTCATAGAACGCCCAGAACGGAGTTCCGGCACCTTTTTTGGGATAGAACCTTGTAGGGTAGGCAAGGCAGGTTTTATAACATGTGTGAGTTCTGGCACCTTTTTTTTTTTTTTTTTTAAACAAAAAAAGCACTGACTATCTGTATATGATTTCTATGCCGTGGAGGGGGGCGGGACAGGTTCTCAAGGACTGTTCTGCTCACAACTCCAACAATGTTCCTTGCAAAGCGTCACCCCTTTAAGGTAGGCCTACATTCAAAAACCACAGTGCTAGGACGTTATCGTTGCAGGGCGCAATACCCAAATCTCCAAAGGTAGATGGATTTTCTGTGCCACTCCTCTTATACCCAAGAGCAAGGGGGAGGGGTGTCCCCAAACTTGGCAACTTTAAGGCTTGTGGACTTCTGGGGAATTCTGCAAGTTGAACCCCACGAGTCTTAAAGCGGCCAAGGTCTTAAAGCGGCCAAGGTGGGTTTTGTATGGGGTGTTTTTAGAACAGGCCTGTCATTTAATTTGATTTTAGCACAGAAATTATTTATTTATTATTGTGGTTTTAGTATCACCTGTTCACCGCCCTGAGTCCCGTAAGGGAGATAGGGCGGTATATAAATTTAATAAATAAATAAATAAATAAATAAATAAATAGAATCCGGGCGGGGCCACCTTGAGTCATTTACTCCCCCCCCTCCCCGAACTAAGGTTCGCGATTATTAATCTTCAGGCTTCTCCCGGAATCCTTTAGGCGAGAGGAATTTACACCCGGTAGCAATCGTGGAAACCGCACTCCCCACCTTCCTCAGTACCTGTTCACCATCTGGGCTCCCCGGCCCTTCCCAGCACAACGCCCACCTGAGCCAGCAGGTAGGTTTCGGCTGGGCGGGAGCCCCAAGACGCTTCCCGAGGGCGCGCACGGCTGGAGAAACCCCCCCCGGAGGTCGGAGCCTTACCATTCCCCCGAGCACCAGGTCCTGGTCGTCGGTCAGGATGAGGACGATGTTGGCTCTCTTGGCGGCGCCGCTCTCTCCGCGTCCCGCACTCAGCAGCAGCAGCAGCAGCAGCAGCAACGCGGGCCAAAAGCCCCCCGGGAGCCCCTCCCGCCCCGCCCAAGCCCTCCCGGCCGGCAGCCTGGCTCGCATCCTGGCTCCGGCGAAGGCCACTCTGCAGCGCTGCCCGAGCCAAGCAACTTTCAGGAAGTTGCCGGCGCGCTTTGGCTCCGTGGTCAGGTGACTCCGGCCGCCCCCGCAGGGCTCCAGAGATACCGGCTGCGGCCCCTCCCGCAAAAAAAGGGAAAAAAAGCTCCCCGGAGCCCGGCTCAGCCCGGCTCGGCTTGGCTCGGCTCGGCTCTGCTGGAGCAGGAGAAAGCGCGGCGCTTTCGCTTTCGCTTCGCAGGGCTGGAATGGAATGGAGGCCGGGGGGGCGTGGCGCTCTAAGGCCGCCCCCGGGGGCTTATTTGCCCGAGTGGGCGGGGCCAAGGAGGCGGCTGCAGCTGGAGCAGATGTTGCACCTGGAGAGGGCCCCCTCCCGCCCCGCCCCGCCCCGCCTTGCTTTGCACCGCGCTTTTTCGGCGGCAGCAACGCTTTGGCTCGGCCGGTGGTGGAGAGAAAGGCGCGCGCCAGCTGGGAAAGCGGTAATTGCTTTAATCTCCGAAGCGGGGGTGGGGGTGGGGGTGGGGGTGGGGTGGGGGGGTGCTTTGCAGTTTTGCGTCCCTCCCTCCCTCCGCCCGGCCGCCCTGCCCCAGCATCCTTCTTTTCCTAAGCTGGCCAAGAAGGGAAAGCTTAATATTTAGGACAGTGGTGGCAAACCTATGGCACGCGTGCCAGAGGTGGCACTCAGAGCCCTCTCTGTGGGCACACATGCCATGCCCCGGAGATGGCAACCGTCCCTCTTCAACCAGCCGCCCGCTAACTCGCTGAGGTCCCATGGCCAGATGCATCCCAGCACCCATGCGCTCGCTGGCCTCCTTGTGCGGGGGCTGATGGTGTCAGGCAGCAGCCGCCCTGGCCCCTGCCTCGCCTTGCCCTGTGACAATGGCACCGCCACCGTGCCTCACCTTGCCTCGCCTTATCCTGCAGGACGAGCCTCCTGCCCACCGCCCCACCTGCCAGAGACCCCCTGGATC